GTTGATCATCATGTAACCATCGAGATAGTTGATCTAACGGCTACAAACACCGACGGAATAGTTCCGTAACATGACCGTAGCAACTCCCAATAGTACATTGGTAAGCACTATCTAATTTGTAACTTATGTAATTAGATTTAAGTAATTTTTTACATTTAATAAATGTTATGGTGAATTTTTAAAAAATATGTTTTTTAGGTAGTATTTAAAGGAAACCCAAGGATTTTGTTTATTTGTTTATTTATTTATTTATTTTGAGATGAGATATTAACACATATTTTATACTACTTAGATTTCATTAAAGTTATTCAATTAGGAAGTATTATAAATAGATTATTAACATATATGAAAATTCTAACCACAATATTTTAATTCTCGTGCGGAGTCTCATATAAAGAGCTTATTACGAACAGTGGCGGATCCAGAAATTTTCACTAGCCAAGGCAAAAAATTGTTCGAAAATTTTTTTAATCATATTGCACAAAATACTTATAGTAACAATTAAATAAATTGTTGAAACAATCGGGTGTTGAGGGATTTTCTATTTAATTTTTGTTTGACTTGATGCTAAAATATAAAATTAAGAATGAGGTCTGGTTATTTTATTTTGTGATTTTATTATTATTAATAAATATACCAAAAATATTTCACAATCCTTTTTCTTTCATATTATTTTTTTTTTGTTTTTTTAATAAGAAAAAAAGTCATTTTGAAATATATTTATTAATTTAAGAAAAGCCTAAATGTCATCATTTTTGTTCTTGTTGTTTTTCTATAAAGATTTTCTTATTGATTGTCTTCTTATAGATAAATGTATAATTTTTCATTGTTAATTTCCAATGCTCTGTAATTCTATATGTTAACTCCTAAGGATTCGAAATAGTCCATACAAATATTAATCTTTATCCTAAATTTTTAAATTTAAACGCTTGGGTAACTTATATTGTAAACATATTTTAAAATTCAATAACATTTGTATATATTATCATATTTTTATATATCATAACTTAAATTAGTCATATTTTGAAAATATATAATTAAAAATTCATATTTTATAGGTAAATTAAAATAATTATACCTATATGATCTCTATCAATAAAAATTTAAATATTTATCAATTACAATTGAAAAAACATAAATTTATCTATCAAGCTTATTATATGGATAAGTACTAAAGAAGTTATAATGTAATATCCTCGAATCTGGCCGGTGAGGTATCAACTTAAATAAAAACAATAATATTATTTTATAAAAATTATTTAAAATTTTAAAATAAAAACTTATATTTATAATTTTTACACATATTAAACATAAATTTTTTTATTAACACATATTAACTATATTAGCACCAAAATTGAGCCTAGGCAATTGCCTAGGCTCGCCTATACCTGTATCCGCCCCTGATTATGAGTATACATAAATTAACTCGAGCATCAAAGTCTTATTAATTAGGCTGATGCGAACTGGACTTTTGAGTGGAAATCGAATCACGTTGATGATGGTGGGAGTAGTTATTATTTATTTATTATTTTTTTTAAAACTGGAGTAGTTAAGTTTAGTCATGTATGTTAAGTATTTAGATATATAGGATTAGTATGTTAGATTATAATTTAAATGTTTGAATGGTTAGTTATATGTTAGTTACAATTTGAATTTTTGAATGTTTAGATTTAGGCTATAAAAATGCATGTACTCATGATTGTAAAAGGAAGGAAGTTCAAAAGTAATAAAAATTAAGAAAGAAGCTTGTCTCCGGGTCATTTCTTCGTGAAAAACCAAGGCCGATAGTGCAGGTTTTTCACTTATTAATGTGTAAATCAAGGCCGTCAGTGCGGGTTTACACATTTTTCATGTTCGAACCAAGGCCGTTAGTGTGAGTTGTCACACAAAATCGAGTCCTGATACACGGTCTTCAATCATCATAGGCTCCCGACACTTTGCAAATCTTTGAAGTCGGTTTAAATCATGAAGTAACATATATTATCTAACATATTGATACTTAAATCATTAAAACTCTTCCTCTATTAAGCAAATGTGGGATTAGATAGCATGTAACACAAGCTTAATACATAGGTTCCAAAATTGTTCAATGAGGATAAGAAAAAAAGGTCAACTTGGACACTACATTTTCCCAATTAAATTGCCTCATTGAATAGTTCTATATTTTATAGCATGTTTCATTCATTTAACTGTACAAATGGTACTTCCATAACAAGAATCAATAATTATATATAGGCAAAGATCATGATATGTAACAAATCATACAAGAACATTTAAGAAGCACATGCACAATAAAAGAAGAATAAGAACAAAAATCAATTCAAATTCAATATTTTTTGCCTACAAGTTCATGCACATGCAAATAAAAGAAAGTAAATGCTTAAAAGGTAAATTAGTGGTAATTTCATATTACCCTCATTTACTGCAAATTCATCCCATTTTTATGAAAGAGTAAGAAAATGAAGTTCACTTCATGCTTCCTTTCTCAACCGAACTTTTTAATGCAGGCTAGTTTTCCCCTAGATATAATAAAGTAAGGAAAAATCTGAAACTGAAATTTTATCCCAAAATTAATTGGTGGAAGGATGAGTAGCCCACTAAACTTATAAATTGGTCATTAGTCGTTTTTCTCATGTATAAAGGTAGCCCAAATGGGCTGAGAAACGGGTACGTCAACTGAGAGTCCTTCATAAGAAACTCAAGCTCAAATGGGTTGTGAAACGGGTATGGGAAAAAAAATGATGCGGTTCCACGCAGATGAAGCGCACCAAGACAGGGAAAACTCAGATAAAGCCAATTGGTGGAGGAGGAGTAGTTTTCCCATGTATTATATCAGTTTTGCTATTGAGCCATCGGATGACTCGACTTATGAAATCATCCACATTTATTCACGAAGGACACGTGTTTTGCAATAAATACAATTTAGACAAATGTTAATATAATAAGTGATGGATGACTCCATAAAAAACCCATACGATGACTCCATATAATTTTCGGTATAAACGATATGGTACAATTCACAAAGTTTCTAATAGTATAAGCTCAAATTGTTTTTTTTTTTTTTTTT